TCCTCTTTCCCCCGAGGAGGACACTGGAGCGAATGAGACAAAAGAACCTCACAGAGCAGTTCCAGAGGCCTCCCCTCAAATGCATCCATCTGTCCGTGACCCCCTGAGACCAGTCACCCCGACACTTCATGTGGTCTGCTGTCTTCCTGCTCGACAGACTTCTACACATAGTCCACGGTCCAGTCCAAAAGTGACCACATCTGTAACATCCTCGCTCTCTCAGACAGCGCCACTCTCCCCATCCTAGTGTCCCTCACTATTCTGAGGAACCCCCAGCTCCTGACCATGGCTCCCAACAGCCGTCCTCCATGTGAACTCCAACCCAGCAGCCTTCTCACCTTTGACCCTTCTGTCTCCACAGCCCAGAGTTCCCTCCTCTGCTCAGCCTCTTTGATCTCTGTCTTGATAACTCAGCTCTGTCTGGCTTGTCTCTTTCTGGAACCTTCCTGGTAGCCCCAGTTCCTCCCAGCAGGGACAGGTGTTCTTCCTCCAGGAAAACCTTCTCAGAAACGACCCCCCACCCTGCTTCCCCAGGCTGAGCTGGCTGTTTCTTTATTGTTTGTTTGTTTGTTCAAATGGGCATTCGGAATGAACACTGTGGTCCAGGGGCAGAAATCACACCACATTCCAAAACTCTGCCTTCCACTCCCAACTGCTTGCTAAACCACATCGCCTGCTGGCTTTCCACCCATCTCCCAAACTCCCCTCTGCCCAGCATGGGTCCGAGCGCCCTCTGGTGGCGGCTTCAGAACCTGCTTGCAAACTGCCAGTGCTGGAGTGTTCTAGGACTCCTTTGGGTACCACCTTAAAAAAAAAAAATAAAAGCCACGCTCTGCAGACCACACCCCTCTGCCTGCCCAGTGGCCCCTCTAGCACCCCGTGGCAGTGATCAATCCTCAGGGGCCTGCTGCCGGGCTCAGGCAGGTTCTCCCCGTACAGTAGCTCACATGTGGTAGTGTGTCCCTGCCTAGACTGGAAAAGATGAGGAAGTTGGAAACAGTGAGCTTCCTTTGCCTGGAACTGTCCAACAGTGGGGATTTAAAGAGACATATGCATAAGATCAGCACACGGCTGCTGGGGACAGAGAGACAGGATTTGAGTCACCAGAAATGAGATGTCCCACCTGGACAATGGAGAGAACCCTGGACCCCTTCCCAAAAGTCCATGTAAGATGATGAGGATCTGTGAGGGAGCATGCTTGGCCCAGACAAGCCCACACTCCATTTCCTGTCGTGAGCATGTCTGTACTCTGGTTCTGCCCAACAGTCACACAGCCAGGCAGGAAGCCTAGAAAGAAACTGAGAAATGAAGCCAGGCAGGGTTTTGCCTGAGATTCCTAGAAACCTCCCACCAGCCTTAGCCAGGGAAGGGGACAGGGGAAAACCCCTGAACAAAAAGCTATGATCGCCCCCCCCACCAAACACCTAGGGGAGCCTATGGCACTGACAATGAAGTCATGCAAATGGGAGCAAGACTGGAGTGTAGCGCATCCAACCCAGCAGCTCAGAGATGTCAGAGGTGATGTGGCTACCAATCCACAGTCGCGGGAGCAGATGACTGTCAGACAGACAGATGGAAGAAAAGACTGGGAGAAAGGAAGGGGAGGGAGGAGAAGGAAGAGAGATGTCGTGAAGGAAGAATGAAGAAGGTC